TAGAGGTCATAACCAATGGGTTCCAAGTCTCACTCGAGGAAGCAAGGAAAATCAAGTTCAACACACTCGAGACCACTTTGACTCACAGTAGTGGTCCTGCTAGTCACGGTAGGCCAAGGCTGGCTTTTGCTTGGGATCAGCTTGCCGGCGTTTAAACAATGAGCCTGTAATGTACGAAAATGTAACTTGGTTTTGTTGAGGTTTGCCTGTAAAATGTAAACTCCTTTTCTGAATAAAATCTTCCCTTACAACTTTTTCCCGGAAAAAAAAATTTGTGAAGAACATATTGAGACATGACTCATGAGCAAGAATGACATTTTACTCGTTAGTGTTCTTAGTAATTTACGATCTTGGTTATTTGAATAACCATGATAATGGAGCAGTGAAGGATTACATGAAGTGATCAATCTAATTACTTTTTCAAGAATTTTTTCATGTTTTTGGAATGTGGATAGACCAGTCTCATACTTGTACTTTTAACTATTTTTTTTTGTCAATCTATACCTTAGAAAATCCCAATATACTTTAACTCAATTTTTTTTTACAACAACATAACGATTTCATTTTATTTATATTATATTGAACTTTGATGAAATACAAAAACCGACGGCTAACGATACATCACTGGAAACTAAACCGATGGATTAGTAGTTATAACATTTTTTTTTCTTAACTTCGCTTATATCTTTTTAAAAAACCTAAAGAAAAGAATTTTTTAAAAAGAATAATAAACGTCACTATGAACGAAGAAGAAGATTGAAATTTGGGAAGAAATTAATAATCTGTGTTAGTTAAAAGAATTGATAGAGGTTAAGAGTTAATTTAAAGACCTTTTGTTGTGTTTAACGGCTATATATTTTTTTAGTAAACTTTACCTCCATAAGAAATATCTATTGAGTATATCAACTCTAAAATAATAATATTCTTAAAGTTATTTAAATTAAAAAATTATGTTAATTTTTCATTAATATTTTTAAATGTATCAAATTACATCTTAAATATATGCAATTGTATTAAATAGTTATATTTATTAATAAAAACAATAATTAAATCCTTAAGATTATTAATCTCAATTTTAATAGCAATAATTAATAATACAATACATTATAGATAATAAAATCAAAGAGATATATTTCTTATAATACAACAAAATAAAAATTACATAGCGTAAACTTATGAAAAAATTTAAGTTAAAATACTAGAAAACATAGATAACATAGAAAACCATGATAAACTAATTATTAACTTGGTTCAATTTTCAC